GCCATCGCAACATACTCATCTTCTGTCGTACTCTGCGCGTTCAAGCCCTGCTTACGTGAGGCGTAGGAAATAACGTTGCCATCAATCATGGTGACGTAGCCACTAATACATCAGAATTGTTAGCGTATTCTGCGTCCGGCACCAACGCCACAGCCTTGCCCTCACTCACGTCCATCACCGGTTTGTAATTCGCCGTAGCCTTCAGATATCGCAGCACGTAACGTGCCAACTCGTAGTGCGTAACATCAAAGTTCGCCGAGTGCTTACCCAAATTCCTCACGGCATGAGCGATGTCAGGCCTGGTGCCCGAAACTAAGTAGCCTAGTGCTCCCACTAACTCACGATAAGGTAGCGTTACGTCGCCCTCAGCAGGCTCGCGTACCTGGAGTGTCCCAGACGGCTCTGGCGTCTTAGCTCCGCTACAACGTGCCATGTGAAACTTCATCAACAACTCCTTGATGTACTGTTCCTGAAAGTAAGTTACACGCTTAGCAGCATGGTCGATCGAAATCTCGATCCCCAACAGGTACTTCACCTCTCCCAGCGAGGGTAACTCGAAATCCTTGCGCATCAGTACAGCCACCTCCGCACACAACTCCTTGGGACCGATCAACAGCAGGTCGTCCACATACACGGTGATCAGCATCGTGATTTCTCCTCCCACTGTTCGGGCATACAGGCCTCGGTCTTTCTCCATGCGCTCGAAACCGAGTTTCGACAACTTAGCGTAAAGCGTCTGATTCCAAATCAGCGACGCCTGCCTTAAACCATACAGACTCTTGAGAAAATGGCACACATCGTCATCGTCGCCCTCCTCCAAGCCGTCCGGTCGGACCATGTAGATAATCTCCTGCAGTGGGCCGTAAAGAAAGGCTGTCTTAACATCAAACTGCATGGCCATCCACCCCCTCTGCACACCATAGTAGATCGCCGCACGAATCGTTTCGAAACGAATGACCGGTGCATACGTCTCGTGGAAATTCACTCCATACACTTGCTTGTGGCCGTGTATTACCAGGCGCGCCTTGTAACGCGTCATGTTGGCATGTTCATCCCTCTATATAGCAAACACCCAACGACAGGTAATGACCTTGGCCTTGCCAGCACATGCACGCGGCATCAGGCGCCATGTCCGATGCTTCTTTAGAGACGCCAGCTCCTCCTGAATAGCTTTGCGCCACTCCGGCCACTCACGGCTCGCCTTGGCCTGTCGGTAACTCTGCGGCAACTGGACAGCTTCAGCACCACGCACGACAACATTGAAGACAAAATCCCGAAGACGTGACGGCCGCGCCCGCTTGCGTCGGGGCAGAACCCTCACTGGAGCCACAGTTGGCTTCCTCACCACAAACGGTACCTCCTTCTCTGAGTCAGTCGCACTAGCAGCTCTCTTGCGCTTCAGACGCCCTTTGCCAGACTTAGACTTCTTCGTTGCTTGAACCGTAGGCGACGGCACAGCCGCAGTGTCCACAGTGTCCACAGGTAATTGCTCTGCTTGCTGCACGATCTGCAATGAAATGTCAGCAAGGTCGTCCACTTGACCTTCAAGCCGCACACCAGCAACCACCTGTCGCGCCACCTCATCACCTTCTGAATACGTCTCAATTGCCGCCTTAATCTCCACAATAGGAATCGTAGCAGCGCCATCAGTCTCAAAGACGGCACGCGTCAGCAAGCGCATTACGTACTCTCGTCCAGCAGCAAACTTCTCATGACAGAACACATTCTCAAGTCTGCTGGTACGGACGCCTCCATCTTGTAGGCTCAGCAGCTTTATACCCTTCGTATCGTAGCTATAACCAAGCAGAATGCACATGTCCGTTCTTGACTCCAGTTTGTCAAAGTCTCGACGAGCCTTCGGCTCAATACGAGCTTGAAATAAGCAGCCCCAAGTCCTCAGCACTCCAAGGTCAGGTGGCTTCCCGTACAGCATGTCAAACGGTGTCTTACTCGGCGCCAGTGCGCTAGTAGTCCATCTATTCACTGTGTAAACAGTATGCAACAATGCTTCACCCCACAACACCTTCGGAAGCTGCGTGGCCGCCAGCATCGCACGCACACGTGGCAGCAGTATCCCGTTTGCTCGCTCCACGACACTGTTTTCTTGAGGACTGTAGCCATTCGTAGAAGTAGTTTCAATGCCATGGTCGTTGCAGAACTCCTACAGCTCTGTGTTCAGAAACTCACCACTCTGGTCACTGTGTAGGACTGCAACCTTCTATCCGTCCGCCTGGAACTCAGTGCTCAGCTTCAGGATGAGCGTCCTAACGTGGCCCACTGCATCACTTTTCTGTTTCAACAAGTATGCCCACTTGTAGCACGTAGCCTCGTCGATGATCAACAGAAACATCGTCTCCCCCGTCGCGGTTGCGTACTCAATCTTGCACACGTCTACAGCAATGCGCTCCAGCGGTCTGGTGCGCCTCTGGTTTTTTTTTTTTTTGTACGTCATCCGCTTGAATTTTCCCATTCGACAAGGAACGCAATCATAAGGCTGAAGCTGTTTTAAATTTAGGTTAAACCCAACCTTGAACTGATGCGCCACCCGGCTAATCTCTTTCATACCAGCGTGGTTAAGACGATTGTGCAGCAAGCCCATGGCAGCGCTCTTCGAAACTGTCTTCGTTTTCTCAACGCCCAGCACCATGTACTGTTGCACCTTCACCTTCGGCTCAGTGGCCTGCAGCGTCCACATCCGGTACAATCCATCGAAAAGCTCAAACTTCAGCTTCATTCGAGGATTAGTTAACCACAGCGTCTTCCTATCTCTCGAAAAGCTCATCGCATAGCCAGCTTCAATCAACAAGTAGCTCATAGAAATCAAGTTGCATCGTGCATTTGGCGTATAATACGACCGCTCCAGCAAGCGCGGCTCCTACTCGCCCGTCTGCTCGTTACGCGCTGTCAGATGTACGGCTCCGCACGCTACGTTCATCTCGCTGCTTCCGTTGAGCATGGTCAGGTTGTGGGTTGTGTCAGCATCTATATGCACGTACGACAACAAATCACAGCAAACGTTAGCTTGACTACCAGAGTCAAGTATCCACTCGAGAGTGGTACAATCTTTTCGATACACATCCAATTTGGAGCTTACCGTGTACATCTGTACCTCGGTCGACACATTCACGTCGCGACCCGCACCCAATGGCGCGTCCGTCTTGGTGTTTACTGCAGCAGCATTCCCACTGACAGCTTTAGCTCGTTATCCAGACACAGCTCCACTAGTACGCACTCCATCGTCAAGTTCATCGCCACCAGCAGCATCACTCCCACTAGCGACAGTAGCTTGGGCTGTAGACCCAGCGCACCCAACTTCGCCGGTGTTGCGCGGCGTCAACATGACGTTCAGCGTCTCCACGTCACCATCCCGGCGTGCTCCAGTCGTATCAT